GCAATGGAGGAAGGAAAATGTCTGTTTTCCTCCACCCACCCAACCCAATTGAAAGGTTTCAGGCCACTTGTGATCAAGCATCGCACAGCGTAACCCAATAAAGGCCGTGTATTCTGGAGCGCGTGGCCTGGGAGGCGAGGAACAGCTTGTGTTTTACACAGGAGTGGACGGACCTTGTGGTTCTCTAACGGGAATACAGCTCTCACATAACAGTGGCTGGCTATTGGACTGAATTTCTGTCCTCTGTCCAGCTGTAGACAGATCAGGTGTAAACCAAATGGTAACAATAACCTAAGAGGGCCAAGGAATCTCAGCCTCTCTTCTCCTGACATCAAGCAGCTCAGGTTGCCTAGTTGTTCAGGTAGGGAAAAGAAAAAGCCAAGTCGAAATTTAAACAGGACTAAAGGTGGCCACCGGGTGGAGCTGTGAACACTGGTTCATTACAGGTACAAGTGAGAAAACAAGAAGTTTGTCAATGATTCCATTGAAGTACTGGTGTAGGACGCAATCCAAAGGCCAGGGAAGTCAATGAGAGAGTATTTGCATTGACTTCAATGGGGTTGGGATCAGGTCTTTAAAGAGTAAATCAAAGAACACCCATTCAGAACAAAAGAGGGCTTGAACTGTATTATATTTTAAAACGCTCATATATTTTCTTTTTTTTTTCTCTTTTTTTTACAATTCTAATACAATTGTTCATCAAAATACTGGCGTTTCCAGCAGCATTTTGTGTGTGTGTGAACAATAATACACGGTAGTGATTTCACAGTAAAACAGACCTGCAGGAACGCCGGATAAACATGACAAGAGACCAAAAAAATTTTTTTTCAGAAGTGAGGGGGGAGAATAAAAAGTCCATTAAAAAAATATTTCCAAAGAGATTTCATAGAAAGCCTTTAAAACACTGTCAATTTTTTCTCCCTCTCATTCAGGTTTCCGTCCCTGTGGTGGAACATCTATATAGAGAGAAAGAGTTTACAACAATCTCCAGAGAAGCAGAAATAAAACAATCAAAGAATATGTAAGGGATAAAATTACATTTGTACAAAAATAGATTTTTTAAACTTTATTGATGCTTTAGATATTTTTCCTTATCTTCTTTTTTTATTTATTTGTTTTTTATTTTTGTAATTCTTTCTAAATTGCATTTTATTTTAGCTATGCACCCCATAGCTAAGGCATCTGTCGCTAAGTGTTGGGAATTGCTAAAGCTATTTTAGTCAAATCACCTGCTTCTAAAAAAAAAAAAAAAGGCATCTTAAAATAGATGCATTTCCTTTGTCTTGCGTTATAAAGATCCGGACTTGGTGCAAGCCAATCCAGAAGGGGTTCTGATACAATGTACTCGCTTACATGAAGCAAAAATGTACGAGAAAAATAAAAGAATCAACTTAAAGAAAACAAAAACACAAAAGTCTGTAATTGCTACGGTTATAATATATGTATATGTGAGTGAGGAGATTTATACAGTGTATATATCTACAGTACACACATGTATACACACGCACATATGTATCAACTTAAAATAGATCATGCACTCTGGTCACTGATGGGGACATCATCAGCTATTTAGCCACTGCTGGTAACAGGGGCCGGCTACAAGGTCATGTGTCTCCATCCTTGATCCCACTTCGACCACCACCATTTAGGATTGTCCTCGAAGAGTGCCAAAATGTTGATTGGGAGATCGGTGGTCAGGTGTGGCTCCTTTGGTGTCCTGCTCTGATGATAAAGAACCAGCCTTTGTTCATTTGCGGATTACAAACACTGAAGTTCCTCTTGCCCTTTGGAAAAGAGCAAATCGCTTCAGGGCTGCTGAACAGTCCAGGTAGAAGGTTGCGTCAGCGTTGCCGCTGGATGTGCGCCACTTACACCCCGACTGGTTTCAACGGGCTGATGGGTGGCGGCAGCGAGGGAAGGGATGAGCAGGCAAAGAGTCAAAGGACGGGTGGGTGAATATATTCTTCAGTTACGCAAGTGGGCTGCAGTCTGTTCCAAAGAAATATACGATTCAGAGAGACCGGATCTTACAGTTCACTGGAGAACTCCAGGGACTGGGGGTGTAGCCAATTTGCTTTTCCAATCCTGGACCTTTGAGACAAACCCAATCTGATGTATTACTTTTTCCCCGCTGCAGACTTCTCTGGGTTTAGGCTGGAACGTTCCCCTTCAACGGATGTGACACAGATTTGAGTTGAAACTGCTGTCTAAAGGTTGAAAGTGCAGAGATTAGCTAGGCTGCCAGGAACCATGAGGCCAGTTACATTATATGTTGCCTAAGTATACAGTACTTGTACGTTTTCAAGGCCTTTCACTCAAATAGCTCCGCGGCGAAGGTTTTACATGAAGTGGATGTTTGGGAGTTAGGGGTTGGGGGAGACGGGAGTGGGGGGAAGGTGCAAAGGCTTCTTGAGGAAACATCCTAAAATGCATTGATTTAAACTCAGTTTGTTCCAGGATCCAGTGGAAACACACACACAAGGCAGCGAGGAACATCCAGTGTGGCAGGTGGGTGGCTGAAAAGCTGATGTTTGTGCTATCTTTAGAAAATTAAAGATTGTCCCACCAAAAAAAAATAATAATAATAATAATAAAAACCAACCAAGAATTAAAAAATAAATCACCTTAATCAAACCAGATTTTGCGAGAATACTAACGTCTGGTTAAGTAAAAGTCCTAGCTCTCTAGTGAATAATGTGCCTTTTCTTTTTTACCCATTTATCACCTCTTCAAACAAGCATGTATTATAGTTATAATAATCATAATGATGGGGGGGGGAAACCCCGACGTGAAGGAAGATACAAATGAAGAAGTCAATTAAATTCATGTAAAAGCAGGTCACTTTAAGGCTGCTGCTGCTGCAAAAGTCACAGAGCCCAGGTGGGCTTCCATGTCACTCCAGCTGGGGAACGAGCAGGGCTGGGAACATTTGGGTTGGGATAGGATTTTGGTAACCGTCACTTGCAGGTCCTGAAATGGGCCGTTCATGTTTGTTCAGGGTAAAATATGCTCCTACAAATGCTGCATTGACTCCCTGCCGGCCAGATCTTTAACTGGTACAAAGCACCATAGCCCCCACTAACGTCAATGCAGCTCTGCCGATCTGCACCAGTTGAAGATCTGTCTCTACCTCTGCGGAAACACCCCTAGAAATTAAAAAGCACTGTGCATTCCAACAGAGCCGCCTGCAATGGGAGGCTTAGAAACGTTACTCGAGCCTCACGCTCCATGCTTGGGAGGCATTATTATTTTTCCCATTTTAAAGAAAGGGAAACCGAGGCACAGAAACGTGCCCAGGGTAACACAGCAAGTCACTGGCAGGAGTCCTGACTGCCAGACCGCCTGCTGTAACTGCTCGATGATACTTCATCCTTAACCTACAGTATTCTGCAGGGATCTCAAGTTTCTAATACTGGTACTGCAGTGTTTGACACTATTGCTCTAGGGGCCGGGCCGGTTTGTTTACCTGCCACGTCCGCAGGTTCGGCCGATCGCAGCTCTCACTGGCCGTGGTTCACTGCTCCAGGCCAATGGGGGCTGCAGGAAGCGGTGCGGGCCGAGTGATGTGCTGGCCTCCCTTACTGCAGCCCCCATTGGCCTGGAGCAGTGAACCACGACCAGTGAGAGCTGCGATTGGCCGAACCTGCGGACGCGGCAGGTAAACAAACCAGCCCGGCCCGCGAGGGGCTTTCCCTGAACAAGCAGCGCCCCTACTTTGAGAGCAACTGCTCTAGGATACTGAACTATTTATTTATTGAAGAGCCGGGGAAGCCGTTTAGACTCAGACGTGGTTCTACATTAATGTGGGCGAGACGTGCTGCATGCTCATTAGATCGCAGCTCTGCCCACCTTTCCCCTGGGGGCTCAGAAAACCCCCCCACAAGTCTGTCTTTGGCCTAGACCAGCCCCTGTTCCCTAGCTCCTTCTGACGGCTGATGACGAGCTGGCTAAGAGCTCACATTTGCAGCCTAGAAAAACAAACAGCAACTCAGACTTCCAGCCCCTAACACAGCTCCTTTCAAGCATCCAATTAAAAAAATAAAGGAGGTCTGCCCAATGGAGATAAACAAGAGTAAAGGTTTATTATAGTGCTATGTTCAATGGGCTCTTTAATAAAGCACCCTGATATTCTCTGGCAAGCAGGCTCTAGGCAGACAAAACACATAATCCAGGCTTCTGAGACTCCTTCTAAAATGTTTAAACACCTGAGATTCAGTAGCAATAACAGGGATCGGAATCCAAAATGCGGGTTAAAAAATAACCATGGCGCTCTTGGGCTCAGATCCCATGTGCCAGCCTGGTGGGAAGTTTACAGGTACCCGCAATCCCCTGCTGACCGCTCTCTCACTCTTCTGATGGAAATGCATAGACCATGATGGTCCACGTTGGCATCCTCTAGATGACTACGTTCTCTTGCCTTGTTTTCTTGGCAAATTCTTCCAGGGTGAAGCTGTTTAATAATATTTTCAGCGGTGCCCAGGCTGCCAAAGAAACGCAGCCAAAACACGTTCCCTGCCTCTGTGGATTTGACACTTCAGGCTGGCCTGGGGGGCAGTTTTGAAGTGAAATCCTTGATGAGCTACAAGGTGGCCTTATTCGCTGACAGAACTTGAACTGCCAGCGTGCTTGGAAAGTGGGCAGCAGCTGTAAGATTGAATATCAACCCTGCCTCTGAATGAACATAGGTAATAGCCCAGGGTTGAATTTGCTTCATCACACTTGACTGAGACACAAAGCAGCTATTTAAAGAGCCAGTTGCAACCAATGGGGTGGCAGGGGAGGAGGAGAGGGGAAGAAATAGTTTTGGACTCTAATAATTTGTCATTTTAAAGCACAAACCAAATAAAAGTAGATGGGAAGTCCCTGGTAGGGAGCCAACCGCAGGCATCTCGTTCTTGGCTTGGCCCAAATGCTCCTTTCATGTGTTAAGAATAACTACTTTCCTCTGGAAAAAATCAGCAAGATACTTCATTGTTTCTTCTGCTTTTCCTTTTCATTTGTTTTCTAGCTTGGCCTCAGGCGACACCTGCTCCCTGGCTGATTTGCTGCCCCCTAAGAAACCTGAAGACGTTCTCTGGAGTTTGTGGAGTGCTGTGTTTTGGCAAATGCACAGGGATTAAGTGAGAAGCCAGCAGTCTGTAAAAGCAAAACAATTGATCCCCCTTCCCCACACATTTTTTAAAGCGGCTCCTGCTGCCTGGGACAATCAGCCAACAGGCTGAAGAGCTGGAAAAAACATCGTAAAAGTGAGATCCAGCAGACTGTGAAATAACCTCCCTTCTAAGAGAAGTGGTGGAGTCCTGGTTGCTCGGGTCATTTCAAACTGGACTGGACAGACTAGACTGTAGGGAACAATCCTGTTTTCTAATGGATAAGATCTTATTAGTATCTCTGATCAGCATGTAATTGCTCCTCAGTGGTGGTGTTTCTAGGATCGAAGCATTTAGGGAAGTACCTAAAAACCCACCAGCCACCTCGCTGTCCAAGAGATCAGAGATTGTTGAGTGAGCAAGCTAAAATTACTGCATTTTTGTTTCCTGGCTAGAGCCGAATTTTTATAATATAGCTTCCCTCAGAATTACCACAGAAACATGGCCTATCAGCCAAAGGTACTGCAAAGGGAAGTGGTCCCTTCAGTGCTTCCTGCAGTTCTCGGATATCTCCCCAGGCGTGGCAAAGGTTTCCCACCCGGGTCCTTCCAAAACGGAGGTGTCCCTGAATTCTCATCACATGTTGCTCTAAGAAAATGGTGTGAGAGTCCAATGGAGAAAGCAAAGGGGATTTTTTTGGAGGGGGATGGGGGGATTGCTTTGAAATCTCTATTCTGAGATGGTAAATTTAATATTTAATCAGCAAATGGAAAATCACCTTTTTGGCCACTAGGACAGAGGCTGCACCTCCATTTCCTGATCCCTGTGGGGAGCACCAAATCACCCACAAAAATCAATACCTAGAGCAGATGGGGAAGAGTTTTGGGGAAGGCCCAGCCCTCGCTTCACCAATCAATCTCACCAATTAAGTGCTGCCCTAGGGCTCAATTTATCATTGCCTGGCATCCTGGGCAGTCATTTACACCCGTGCTGCCAAATCGTCAAACGAGGGTGGTAACATTTTGCACTGATGTCAATGATTGTGCAAAACGGTGATGAATTAGGCCCTATCGACGTGAGCGTGAGCTGAAAAATCGGTTATTCGCTCCACTCCGCCCATTCCGAGCTCCTAGTGGCCATCAGTCCTACCGCCAGGCAAACGCTCCCAGAACCCCTGACAATCTGACTAACATCAACTACTTTGCTTGGCCTGCCTGAGCAAGTGTGCGGGGACACCATAATGTGAAATGCACGTAGTGTTATGGGTCATGACGAATGCCTGTGTGTTAAGGGAGAGGTAGGGATTCCAGTAAGACTCTTACGAGGGGAGTGGGAATTGGAATCACTGCAGCCTTAAAGCAACCACTACAGACTTGTGCAATCCAGATGGTTTGTGTTTTGATTGGCTAGCTCCACAACTGAGAGAACAGTCATCTTTGGAAAAATCATGACACGCTGTTGCTTTTCCAGAAGGAAAGCAGGGCACTGAAGTCACCGCCGTCCACACTGCCCTCCACACACAGAGGGGGGCTCAGTCTCTCGGTGTGACCGGTCATTTCTCCGTTCAGGTCATTAATTTGGGGAGGGGAAAGGGGATAAGTGAACAATCCCACAATCCCCTGCTTTTCATTTGAAAGAGAAGGCTCTGCAAAAGATCCTCATTCGCGACATGGCAGGGGCCATTCCAGAGCGGTTTTCCTTGAGAGAAGTAAATACTAATCGTTAGAAACCAAAAATATATATTCTTTCCTCTTTCAAAAACTCCATCCTCTGAAAATATCCAGCTGTGGGTAAGCAGGATTAAACCACTCCCCCAGCCCATCCAAACCCCAGCCACTCAGGGTTCCTATAGGTGGGATCCACCCGCCGCCTGCTTCCAACCATCTCAGCCGCATGCAGAAATCCAAACCCAACTACGGCAGAGGCAGGCAGGGAGCCGAGAAGCCTGGCCTTCAGTTTGGCTTCAAACTCAGGTGTGCCAGGAGGCGGAGCAGGGGGGGTTGTTTGCTTTTGAAATGCTACGTCCCACTTCTCTACATCTAAAATAGTAAAACGATCGTCAGCTCCTTCGATGCGGCGGTGACAAAATGAGCAGAGATCAGCGTGACGAGGAGGCAAGGGGCAACGGGGTGTCCCCCTGGGTCAGACGGAGAAGAGCGAATGGGGTCTCCGGCACTGGGGAGAGGGAGGAGGAAGAGGAAGAGTGGAGGTGGGAGGAGGCTGCTGCGGCCCCTGCTGGGTGACGGGACTGACCCAGCCGAGATTCTCTAAGTCATTTGGTGGGGCGCTTCCAGCATCTCCATCAAGAAGGTGTCGATGGGCGTGTCTCCTATTAGCTTGAAGAAGAACAGGTGCTCCAGGCATTTCAGGCCAATGGATCGGAGGGCAGGGAGGCGAAGCAAGAGTTTTGCAAACCTGGAAGAGTGAAGAAGAGAACATGGTTAGACACCTCACAGTCAGCTGGTGTTGTCAGAGGTGCAGTGCAGCAAGGAAGGGAGAGCTCACGCGGCTCCTGTGAACGTTCCTGGTAGAGATGGGTCTAGTCCGAGCACAGCTCGCCCTTTGGGCTGGACTTCTTTCTAGTTACTGGAAATCACGGGGCTAAATCCCCCATACACTCATTACACCGAGATGTTACCAACCGGCTCTCTCTCCTGCGGGACATGCAATCAAGGTAAACAATGACAACAGCCTGCGGTTACCAGAAGTGAAAGAGGGTAGAGGGAATCTCGCCCTCTCGGTTGTTGGGTTTGCATTTGGCAGCACTTTGTGTAAAGCCATTGAAGTCATTTTCCTGTATCGGTTGTGTGAGTCTTACACAATAGCAGAGGAGAGAAGAAACACATTGGGCCGGGGCACCAGTTCAGTGAAGACAACAGCTCAGCATCTGCCGCCCCCCCCCCTTCTTTTTTCTCTTTGGAAATAGGAAAATGTGACTGTAAAACCACAAAAACCAGCCGGGGGCTGGAGTGACTTTTTACTCATTTCATGAAACTGACTAGACTGCAGCCTGACTGCATCCCTTTAATAAAGTAACACAGTAACTGACAACAGACAGCAGCGTCACAAGTCACTCTTCACAGATATCCCAGCAGGTACCCTGCTTCCACTGCTCTAAGCCTTTGGGACTCTCTGGCAAAGGAGAAATGTGGGCTGAGGGGCACTATACCCGGGGTGAATCAAATGGAAGACGGCAGCATCTTCTCAAGCAGGGGGTTGAAGTTGGAGATCAGACTTGCCTCCCCCACCCCAGGCAAAGACTCCACTGCATGTGCCAGGGCAGGTGTTAAAACACAGCCCCTCCTCCTCTTGCTGGGTTGGGTGAGCAGCTCCCACTTCTCTTTGGCTGGTGTTTTGGGAGCTGCCCATCTACTTTATCCATCTCTCCCTCAGCTCAGCCCAGCAGAGGTGCTTTTCCTGTTGCACCCACAATGCTTTCAAAAACTTGCTGACAAGCAACGAGTGCTGCATTCACATACAAGGGCTTTGATGCTTCATGGGAAAGTCTTTCAAAACACGGGAGAAACAGCGTTTGGCACTCCACAAAACCGGAGCAGGATCACAGGTTTAAGGAGCTGGTTCTGTGGCCTCAAAAGCTTCCCAGCAGTGGGGGACAGACAGGCCCTGGTGATTTTCGGCAAAACCCTGGATGTGAGAAACCCCCCAAGGCTGGCCAGCAGCTCTGGGGAAGGCTGTGCTCTGCCTGCCCTGAATCTAGAGTCCAGTCGAGAGGAGCCAGCCGGTGGGGAATACATTCCAGGAGCCAGTGAAGAGAGGAGGAGAGGAGCTCCCTTTAGGTGGGGTAGCTGCAATGTGGCTCTTCAATACAATGTGGATTTGGACCTCAGGGCAAACTATGGGACGTACTCGCAATTTCTGTTCGTTTGGGATAATGGGCTCGCAGAACTGTCTCTCCAGAGACTGTTCCCCACCTCCAACCCCAGAGCAGCTCCATGAGATCTCTGCCCAGCTCGTTTGGCTCCCCCTCCCCCCACCCCACTACACACCACAGCGCTTTGGATGAATGTTTTAAAAAAAGTCCCATTAATAATAGAGAACGTCTTTATTTATTTTTAGTGTCCCCATGCAAGCAGGGGCTTCAAAATAAGCAACGGAGTTTCAAGGCTGGAGCTGGGCCAGCGAAAAGAAGTTATGTGGGGGGGATGGACTGTGTGCTGTGTGTGTGTGTGTGTGTGTGTGTGTGTGTATTTGCTGAGCTGGAAAGAGCAGTGGGACAAGGGCCAGAAAAAACAAATCAGTCCTGCCATCCCATCCAGGAAGTTTCACTCTAAACCAAACCAGATGATGGTTGCAGCCTTCGGATCCATTTAACCGTGAGATAACCAGCCCACAGCGCAATGCACCAGGGCTGGGGCTGGGCCAGGAGAGAAGGGAGCTGATCGCATGAGGCTGCTTCATGTCACGTACACACCAAGCCCTCCCTGCTAGAGCAGCACAGGGAGGCCGGGACTCAGTTATGTTTGGCCTGGGAATGTTTCCCTTAGCCTGGCTGTTGTGCAGGAGTAGCTTATTTGGTGCACGAGCATTTACACTATTCTTGTGAGCCCAGTTCATAGTCTTGCAGGAAGGCACATCTGAAACTCACCAGTGGACTGTCTAGTCTCTGGCAGTGCCTACTGCGGGATGATCCAGTAAATTGCCCACAGAGAACTAAACTGTCCATTGTTCTGCCAGGGGAGGAATTTCTTCCTGACCCCAAATGGGGATCATGTTGTGTCATGTTATTTATTTATTTTATTTTTAGGGTTGGAAGGTTCCTCAGGAGGTCATCTAGTCTAACCCCCTGCTCAAAGCAGGACCAACCCCAACTAAATCATCCCAGCCAGGGCTTTGTCAAGCTGGGCCTTAAAAACCTCTTAAGGATGAGATCCCACTACTTCCCTAGGTAACCCATTCCAGTGCTTCACCATCCTCCTGGTGAAATAGTGTTTCCTAATATCCAACCTAGACCTCCCCCACTGCAACTTGAGACCATTGCTCCTTGTTCTGTCATTTGGTACCACTGAGAACAGCCAAGCTCCATCCTCTTTGGAACCCCCTTCAGGTAGTTGAAGCTACTTTCAAATCCCCCCTCACTCTTCTCTTCTGCAGACTAAATAAGCCCAGTTCCTTCAGCCTCTCCACATAAGTCATGTGCCCCAGCCCCCTAATCATTTTCCTTGCCCTCCGCTGGACTCACTCCAATTTGTCCACATCCTTTTCTGTGGTTGATTCTTGATGGTTTCCCCTGGGGTGCACTCATCCCATTGCTGTTTCTAGTGGCTAGAGCAGGGGACCAGAAGGAACCTAACGGTTCTATTCCCGGCACTGACTTGCTGCAAGACCTTGTGCAAGTTGGATCACTTCTCTCTGCCTCCATTGGCCATTCAGTAAAATGGATGCAATACTCCAGATGTGGCCTCACCAGTGCCGAATAGAGGGGAATAATCACTTCCCTCCATCTGCTGGCAACACTCCTACTAATGCAGCCCACTATGCCGTTAGCCTTCTTGGCAACAAGGGCACACTGCTGACTCATATCCAGCTTCTCGTCCACTGTGATCCCCAGGTCCTTTTCTGCAGAACTGCTGCTTAGCCAGTCGGTCCCCAGCCTGTACCAGTGCATGGTATTCTTCCATCCTAAGTGCAGGACTCTGCACTTGTCCTTGTTGAACCTCATCAGATTTCTTTTAGCCCAATCCTCCAAGCATGGAGCATGGAGATGGAGACCCCTTGTATGTTTGAACCTAGCTTTTGTGTAACTGCGAAGTCTTAATTCCTGTAACTGTCTAATCCATTTTGGAAAACCTATTCAGCTCCCTACTTTCAATTATACCACTTGCCGGCAAGGCATGTCACGACTTAATGATAATTATACCCCACACTTCATTAGAGATCTATGTTTGTTGCTTTCACGGCTCTTTGCAAAGGACGATATCCCTGCCCCCATTACTGATGGAGTGTCACACAAGTCAGTGCCATTGCCAGGAATAGAACCCAGGACTCCCGTCCACTGGACTATGGTATCGGTCATATGATGCACTGAATATTTCCTTCCATTTCACGGTGATCACTAGCGTAGTCCTCAGAGTAGAGAGAGCTTGAGTGGAGTCTTCACACCTTAGTCGAGCTGTGTCAAAGCCATTCAGATCTTCATGGGTTTTGGAACGGAGCGAAGTGAAATGGGGTGACCTTGCTTTGCAGGATTTTCTGAGAACATTTGCTTTGGTTTCGATCCAGGTAGGTTCACACCTCCCAAGCCTCTGGTTCCAATGAATCCAGAAACTCAGAGCAAACT